AGACTTTCTTACTTGTTTTAAGACACATTTTTTCATGATGTCGCGACAACACTGGACACCACGCGAAAGCTCTATGTACGTACGGCTACCTGTTTGTTCGTCGAGTGATAAGTTTTGAAATAGAAAAAAGGAACACACGTTTTTTAGATTAAATCTGTTTTGAAGGATTTAAGTGCAGGCCAATTCTGACCAATCTGCATGGATATGTCACCGATTACTACTTTTATTAAATAGTTTGCTAATTGTTTCTAACAGCTACCGTTAAGTAGGTGTGAATTTTTTTTAGTTTTCATAATAATTCTCGGAATGTCGCTCTTGATAAAAAAATTTAATCTATAGTCAAAGTACACAATTTTACTCGCTAACAAATGAATATGAAAAACTCAAACGGTTTTCCCTTATCAAACCCTACTATGTATTTACTCGGTCGACAAGCTATGCCACAAATACATCTCTTATAATTTGATAATGTTGTCATATTAGTGGCGATGATTCAGTTTTGAATATTTGCGGTTGTTTCGTATTTTTTCATAAATATTTGAATGGCCAATGAGAAACTTTTCTCCAACAGAATACGAGTGGATTACTCTTTACATACATATGTACATACCTATAATGACTTGTCATATTTAGTATTTAGATTGCTATAAAGTGGCAGGTATTACAGCCAGCCTTAAACTCAAGCGATAAGCGCTGTCTTCGTTAACACCAACGAACGGCAGTGCGTTACTTTAAAATTTAATGTTTAAATAAACGCCAAATGTTCTTAAGTTTACTCAATTCCTCACGTCGTTTTTCGTTTAATCTTTCTCAATCTTGGTTTTCTTTTTATTCCACTACACACAACTGCAAGACGTAACGCTTTGTAAAGATTGAAAATTCGCTTTGCTGGGCACTAACGCCACATTATTGTAGAATGCTTCGTACAAATTGCATGGATATGACGCCTTTTGGCAATTATTTGACGCTTGACGCGTAATTAATTAATAATTTATTTTGTTATAACATATGTATGATCGAAATATATGTAGGCAAGTATGTACATATACATTTCATACTTTCTCTTCAGGATAACAGCTGATATGTGAGTAAGCTGGTTATCAATATTGTTTATATGGAAAAAGGGGAAGCATAATCATATAATAGCCACCATACATACAGATGTACGTATGTATGTATGTATATGTACTTCAACGCCAAAGCGTTCCTTACGTTTAAGCTTTTCCATGTGATATTATGCGTTTTTCATAAATATACGTGGAGCGTTTTTTTATGCTTCAGCCAATATGTACATTTTTTAATTAACATAGATTATGTGTTAAGAAATTTTTTTACCCGAGCGCACTTGTGCATATATAACTTTGTTCACACAACGGTTGTTTGTAACAGGCAAAACTAATCGAGATAGATATAGATATGTAAATGATATATATAGATGGAAATGTATACATAAATGATCAAAACGACAAGAGAAATCGATTGAGCGGTGACTGTCTGTCCGTCCGCCTGTGCACACGATAACTTGAGTAAAAATTGAGACATCTTAACGAAACTTGGTATTTCTTTGGGCGTAGGACGGATGGTATTGAAAACGGGCAAAATCGGATAATAACTACAGTAACTACTGAAGATTATTCACTCAAAATTGATATTTGCAATAATTTTTAGACAAAAACTAAGAATACTATAAATTTTTTGCAATGAGATATCTGTAAAAAAACTGCTTTTAACCATGATACAAAAAATCAATACAAATACAATAAACGACTTTTGACAGATAATAAAATTGTTTGAAGTTTCATAAATTATGAGTATTCTCAACGGCCTTGCCACTTTGATAATATTAAAACAATAAATCGGAGTATTTTCTTTCCCACATTTATACCAATTTAATAATATTTCAAATCAAAAATCATTATCAGTGCTTGGTAATTTTTTTACTTACGTGGTTCGCACCTTTTTATTAAAAATATATAAAATATGTAATGTAAAAGGCGACTTAATTGAAATTGTTCTTTTTATTTTAAAATAAAAATCACGAGAGCATTATGTTGTTATTTTTAAATTTTCTTATTTTTAATGCAATCACGCGATTTAAAAATCTAATTCTAAAGAATTCCTTTTCCAAATCATTCTTTTTATAATCGCCAATTCGATGTGAATAAACTGTTCTCATAGCTTAACATGCAAGACAAAAACAAATTGGGAAAAATTATTTTTGTTATGCTTTATAATTTTGGGAATATTTGTTCACATGGAATTTGTGATTCGTGATGAAATTCATGAAAATTCACTTTTAAATTTCTCATCATATTTTGTAAAAAATTAGGCTTTGTGGTTAGCGTATCACCATTAACATCAACAAATTTCGAATTTAAAATTTCCAATGTACGCAAAAAACTTGAACTCGGCTTGCGCGGACCGCCCTCCGATAAGCAATTAGCATAAGTATAATTTTGATCACTTTCTTCATCCGTTCTGAAACCTAGTTTCGTCAACCCCATTTTTGAGATTACGCATTAATTTTCAGGTTCATCATATTCGACATCTTTGAGTGACTGATGAAATCTTCTGCTTAAAAAAAATATATATTACTGCTCGTGATCAGGTAGCATGAATTTAATGAAATATCATAATTTTATTAAAAGCCAAACGGTTAACAACAACAACGAATGTCATTAAATGAAACTACCTTCTTTTTTTTGCTACGATACAAACAACACGAGCCATGAAAGCTCTTTACTGTGGCAAGCACACTATAGTAACGTTCGGAACTAGCTACAGCAACAGGTATTTTGCAAAATATTCCCAAAGCATCGCAAACGTTCGGTAAATCGTTATTAACAGCAGGCGAATTGTTCTCTTTCAAACTTACATTGTAAAAAAAATAATAACAAGTTATGGTTCTGATATTTCAGGGCCCTTGAAAATCCGGGGACCGGGAGTATGCACCCCTTTCACCCTCCCTCTCGACGGGCCCGCACACAAGGTCTTATCAAGCTTGTTGTATGAGAGATTAGGGTCCACAGTTAATGAACTGATTATGTGCCTCATCAGTTCGGTTGAGACCTGGTAAGTCCACCCTAGACCACGAATTTAAAATGTAATGTAAAAGATGGAGATTGATACAGCACAACCAGCTAAGTTAGAATTAGGAAGAAAAAGGTGGCTCCCTTCTTAGGCTTTGTACATTTTCTTCGCTGTAAGGGGTTTTTATGTGGCGGGTCCCAAATCTTGCGCACAAACCATTGCTGGGAGGACTTCCTACGACTTCTTTAATGTGATAGAGCATAAGAGAACACCGTGTGACAAAAACCAAAAATTTTTAAAACAAACGAAAAGATCAATATATTCACAAAATTAGGAGCCGAGCATAGTATAACTGCGTTTTTAATTTTTCTTTCTGACGCCAGGATTTTTTTAAAGGACTTTAAAATTTCTAGAACATGATGGAATAAAAAAGTTATTTAAAAGATTTGGTGCATTGTACAGTAACAATATGTGTATCAAGTGAAAGGAAAATTTCTGCAGAATTGAAAAAAATTTACTTTTTGGTTCACCAGGACGAATAAGTGTTCAAAACGCCCTTTCAATACAATACATAGTTTAGGAAGAGCCTGCCTGAAACTATACAAAAAAAGCAAATAAGCAAATGGATGTATAGAATTAACAACAACAACCACGCTGTCGAGTTTAAATAGCGGCAAATCAGCTGCACTTGATAGTAGTTGGTTGAATAAGGAAAATGAATTAGCAACAAGAGTTTACGGGATGTACATAGCTCAGTGGTTAACGCTTCTGACTTTGAACATCGAATTCGCAGGTTCGATCCCTGCTGAAGTCTAGAAAAAAAAGTCTGATGAGGAGATGTGGTGATCTCCGAAATAGTGCTATAACTTCTACCGCTTAGACTTTGTTGCTTTTTCAATTTTTCCTAATAAACAATCGTGGTACAAAGCTCAATAAAAATATTAAAAATAAAATGTTAACAAGCCACAATAACATTGACAAATACAGGTAATAAGTAACTCTTTTTATTAAAAAAAAATTTTAAACAAAAAAAAATACTTACCAATTTTTTTAAAATTTATATCCTTGTAAACGCAATCGAACTTTCTTTCTTCTGATATGCGTATATAAAAATTTGAGTAAAAATACTTAAAAGCAAAAAATACCTTTTTTATAAAAAAAAATATTTTAGACAAAAAAATACAAAACGATTTTTAAAAAATTGGTATCTTTATAAATGATACCAGAAAACTTATACTTTCTTAAGCCCTATTTATATACACAAAAAAAAGATTAAAAACATTCTTTCCCTATATAAACTCCTGCCGCCCTAGGTGAAATGCTGGCTACGACCTTGTATACAAAACAATTAAAGTATTTAAATCATGCATCACACGAAAGTATAACCCAAAAAATATTTTAATTATTTTTCAAAAATCGGCTTATCGATTTAGGATATTTTATCAGCTTTTGATTAAAAGAGAGATAGTTGAAATCGAATGAAAATGGAGACCCGTAGTGCGAGGGCTCGGCGACAATAAGAGTATAACATATGCACATATGTTTGAAAAAAGTTAAATATATATGTACATTAGAGTGGGCAAAAAAAAATGTTTCCCACTTACATATGTATCGGTTAATTACAAGAGGAATAAGTGACAATTTTGATGCAGTTCGGTTCGCTTAAAGAAGCTCTGTGGAACTGCATAAAATTTGCCATATTGGTGAAATACTGACTTATTCCCTTAGGTAATTAATCGATTCATATGTGTATTTAAAACAATTCAAACTTTTCCAATATCTACATATTCGCCGATGTATTGGTATTGGTGTGAAATTTATCAATGAACTGATAAGAGCTAAGGTAATTTTTTTTTCGTTAATGTTTTGTCAAACGTTTGGTATTGGCAGTGAATATACCTGTGTACACTTTATAAAAATGTTAAAATGAACGACAATTAACGGCAGTAAAAACAGTTAGTAGTTCGCGGCGCTGCGGTGCATCGAGTTCATGTGCTTTATCTAAGAGTTAATAGCTAATGCTAATGCTAATTATTTGATGTTTTTGGTTAAGTTGAATTGACTTGAAAAACTGACTAATTCTTTAAATTTTTTTCAATATGGTTGTAACATGTGTTATTGAATTTGATAATAATCCATTTGGAACCTATTATGGTGGTCAAGTAATAACGGGAAAAGTGACATTACAAGCTGATAAACAAAAGCAAGTAAAAGGTGAGATAGGTGAAAAAGGAAAAAAAAAATGATGATTGTACATAAGTATGTATGTATGTTTTACAAGTAAAAGGCCAATTGCAAAGCGTAAGCGCAGGATTTATTTGCAAAAGGACGCCGAATGCGAAACTTGCAAATATCGCCATGCGCTGTGATGTCATGCGCTAAGCTGCAATGCGAGTTCTCCCCTAACACATTGACATTTCTCTTTTTGAAAATAGCGCGTGAAGTTAAAGTGACTAGTCTAGAGCAGCGGTCGGCAGTCTAACACATTCAAACGATTCAATAAGTGAGACTGGGTGCGTTAAATGCACTGCTCAGCTGCTGCTCTTCGTATACGTGTGAAACATACGTGCGCTCAGAGGGCGCTCAGTGAGCTATGGCCTGCCGACCACTATTCTAGAGTGAACAATTTTTGAGAAATAGGTAATGGTCGGTTCAATTTTCTTAACGTGAAATTTTTGCCTGAGCCGAGGTTCTCTGAGTGTTTGTCGTTCGCATAGGTGTGCGTTTTGAGTATCAGCTTGGAGTTGAGTTCCATTGTTTGAAGTGTCCTTCTGTTTACAACAACGGCTTTTTTAAATGGAGAATATTTCATAAAAAGACACCCAACTCAGTTTTTAACAGAAACATACTCAGTGAGTACAGTGATATCTTTTTCCTCCTCTTTATTGACGCTGTAACAGCCTAAGAAGTTTTGACCGATAGTCGCTTTCTTTCTGTATGCGTTGACGCCAGTTGGAAATGCCAAGTGAAGCTGAGTCCTTCTCCACCTCGTCTTTCCATCGCGAATGAGGCCTTCCTCTGTCACCAGCATCGCGACTCGCGTTGTTCACTTTCAGAGCCGGAGCGTCTCTATCCATTCGCACGACATAAATTAGCCAGCGGAGCCGCTGTATTTGAATTCGCTGCACTATGTTCTTGCCATTATAAAGCTCAAAGGCCTGTAAATCTTTTACAGAATCAGAAACGCCAAGAGCCACGCCATCAAGTGTTTTTTTAATGTCCATGCNTTTCGAACCCTAGGCAGGTGCATACGAAAATATCCATCAATAGACAATCATGTGGAAAAGTTATCTACTCTAACAACCTTGTGCTCAGATCCCATGTTCTAACGAAAATGCTTCTTCCAGCCCACATGTCCCCTTTTGTTTGGCAAGAACATTATCACAATGGAAGTTGCAACTATCTAGCCTAATTTAACCGCATCATAGCCACACTCATGTAGTCTGATTATGGAGTAGAAACCCTGTAGACAGGCTCCCATAACTCGGGTTTTCGCCTGAGTACAATAAGGCGTCTTTGGATCAATTCCTGCAAAATAGAACCACAGGCGCTATTATCGAAAGCCGCTTGATATCCAAGAAGGCAAATATATCAACATCCTTGGTATCTAATTTGCTTCGATCTTATTAACCAAATACTGTAGAGCGAAATCCGCTCATCTTTCCAAAATACGCAAATTTAGTGAGGTGTAGGGGAAAATGAGTAGAGAGTGTACCTAATGTGTTGTCTTTCTAGAATGAGGGAAAATTTTTTAGGCTTATAGGTCTGGGCGCATTAGGCAGTTCGGAGGACATGTTGGCTGGTCTAGCAATAAATGAAGCGGTTAAATTTTACCAACTATATGAAATGTATTCTCAGCAGTAAGTAACCCAAAAGAGTAAGATAAGAGGATATCGTTTAACTTCTTGCTAATTGTGTTGGAAAAATGCCATCTGAGCCCGCAGCTTTGTAAGGCTCGAACGAATCTAAAGATCGCTGTACCTCCGATCCAAGCTGTTGGCAGCTCTGTTACTGCTTTTCACTCTTAAGAACCTTATCCGAATTTGTTCCACCAAAGAGCCTGGGGTATGTACTTGAAATAATTCCTAAGCGCCCTGTTGCTGTTCGTGAAGTTATAATCGTGCCTCTTAGGAGACCTATTCTCGACTTGCTTCCCCTCTGACCCTTCTTATACCTATACGAGGCCGCTTGTAGCGTCTAATAGGTTTATTGTAGACGTGAATTGAAGAAGTGGAGTGTAAGTATACTGATATAAAAGGAGGCTATAGAATATAAATATGTACGTATTTATGTATATATATAAGTATATTTGTAAGAAAAGTATTTGCCCTAGAGCTATTTAAATGATCTTCTTGTTTCAACAAGGTGTGTGTGAAAAAAGTAAGGTAAACATGCTTAAAGTTTTAATGACTAATTCTCTTTCTATGCATGACTCATCGTATTAGAATTTAAAAGTGCTTCATATACATATATCTATAAATATATACACTTGATTAGATAGTTAGATTATTTTTATTTGTATTTAGTGATTTCTGTTAAGTTTATGGACTATAATTTTTCACTTTATATTCTAACACAGTCGAAGATTTACTTCATACACACGTTTAATTAAAACAAAAGGAAAAACTTGTTGGTTGTTACTCAGGCCAGGAACTAATTTAATCAGTGTCGTCTCTTTCTTATGTAATTTCAGGAGTTGTGCTCAAAATCAACGGTTGCGCAGAAACGAGATGGGAAGAGAGTTCGAGTAAAACCGAAACCGATGTACATGGGAGGTCCTCAACAAGAAAGGAAACGACCTACTTCAGGGGTCATGAAGATTATATAAAATCGAAAACATATTTGCTTGGTTCGGATGAGAGTGAGTTTAAATTTTTATTCAAATTGATAGTAGATAACAATGCTGTTTAACGCTAAATACGATATGTTAACAGTAACCTAGTTACAAGGTGTATGTAAAATTTAAACACTCACGAACATGCAATAATTTTAAGTTTTGGGGCTAAAATGAAATGCCTTACCATTTTTCCTGAAAGCTACCGATATCTCCCTCCACCAGGAAAACGGAAAAAATTATCCGTGGCCAGCTTCGAGTGCTAGAAGTGTATCTGCACAAGAGTTAGACTAATTTTAGACTAATTTTCTAGTTGCATTTAGAATTTTGGTCGGCGGGCAACATGCCTTCTAGCAGCTTATTCGCGTTTTCGACCACGTAGGGCTATACGTCATAAGCATTGGTCGGGCGGAAAATTTGTATCTTGGATCGACAAATATCAGATTGAAAGCGAAAATTCAGCCTAGTCGAAAAACTAAATGCTTATCACATCAGTCAGGAGCAAAAATGGCATACTATTCAACTTTGACTCCCCAGCCTTAGGCATTATCCAGTCCTTCATTGAGATGTTGCTGCTGTAGACCCAAAGATACCTAGCCTGCGTCTCGCTGTCTATCTGCAGGAGAGCTCTCTGCCTTCAGATTTCTCACTTGAAGGGATTTGCTTGAGGCTCAAGCCCTCCTAAGCCTCATCAATGCTTGCGAAGCTCTTTCGCAGGAGAGCTTGAAAGAGTGGCTCTCATAATTTACAACCTTGTATGTGCGCACTACCTTCGCGGATTGGAAGATTCCGAGTTGACTAACCGGGTTTCCCATTACACTTCATCGATAACCAGTTAAGACAGCTGCACCTCAAACTCACCCCAATGTTCCAACACCGTCTTTACCTTATTGGAAACCGCAGTTTAATGTGCCACTTATAGGTCATGTCACGCCACTTCGTTGTAGGACGCTAGTCACGTCGATGGTTCGGCTCTTGGAATCTCTTTGTTTGTTTATTCCAGAGACTTATTCCACTTACTTTTAACTTTTTTTTAAGGCTTTGTGAGCCCCTTACTCATCCATCATTGCCTGAAAGCGAGTTTTGTCTTCGTCGTCCAGCGGGTGCACAGTGTCATCGAGCTAGTCCCGCTGTATTCTACCAAGGATAGCCCGAAGTGCCTTTGACGTTGTTTAGTATTTGGCTATCCCATAAAAGCCTTACAAAAAGGTTGACTAGCCGACGGCGTGCTACGGTTCACAGTAATTATTGACTCCGTCGCCATGTGTCAAAGTCCCCTAATTTCATTTAAGGAACTTCTCGTGAGTGGTGGGACACGCACTGCCCAATCGAAGCTTTCCTGTGTAGCCCTTTTTTGACGTGTTGTAGTTAAATAATTGATTTTGTTGTTCATTATTTATGTCTTGCGGTCACCCACCTAGTCACTGCTCCAAAGAAACTCTAAGATAAATACGGCGGGGCTATTCCGAAATCGAGACGAGCCGATACCACAACCTACATAGCAAGTGAGAAGAGAAAGAAGTCAGTGCGCCATGGTAGCACTCCACGCCATGCAAAGACCACCGTTACTCACCTAGGTGGCGCGGTGTCAGTACAGCACCGTGAAAATACAGTAAATTACCCCCGATTGCAAACCTTGTTCCAACTTAACCCTTTGTATTGACGGAAACCTCCAAACTACAGCCGAAGAGCACAGAGCTCTTAATAATCAGCAATCCTTTCTAGAATACCACCTGACGTTTGTTACATTTGATAACGTACGAATACTACTGAAGCATCCATTTCCAAATGCCGTTGAGTTGATAGAGGAGTCTGATATAGGTTTACACATTTTTTAAATAATGATTATTAGTTTTGAAATACGTAGGGCTGGGACTATCCATGTATTAAAATATTCGGGTATTCGTGTATACGAACACGCTTTTTGAATATCCGGATATTAAGATTTTTGATTTCGGTATTCGAGTATTCGGATTATTCTCTCACAAACAAAATTTGTGATTACAACTAGTTACAACATTTATTTACCTACAACTTTTTCCTCACAGATCAATCATCATTGATAGAACCCGGCATACACACCTATACTTTCGCCTGTCATTTACCGCATAACTGTCCCTCATCCTTCGAGGGGCGTTACGGTAATATACGCTACCTGGTAAAAGTGGAACTCATAAGACCATGGAAATTTAATCAGACATTTACCAAGGGCTTTACGGTATTGAAGATTATGGACTTGAACTATGATAGTCCCTTATTGCGGGTAAGTGAGCCTACATAGGCAGCGTAATTTTTTGCACTAAAGTAAGCGTTTCTAATTACTCTCATGTTTCTTCACTAAAGCTTCCTTGTCACACGGAAGCACAGAAGATCTTCTGTTGCGGCCCATTTAAAACTCAACCACTTGACGTGAACGTCTCACTGCCACAGGCTGGCTATGTACCCGGTCAAACGATGCCAGTCAGCGTGCACATATCAAACGAAAGCAACATTAAGATCGAAGAACTAAAAGTAGAACTGGTAATGCTCGTCTGTTACTACAGTCAAACACCACGTACAGCCACCAGGAGTGAACGAATTGTTGTGACGAAGGTTAAGGGTGACGGCGTGCCAGTGCATTGTAAGAAGCAATTCAACTATCCGCTCGTAGTACCCGCGACACCACCAACCTGCTTCAATCTCTGTCGCATACTACAGATTGCCTATCAAGTAGAGGTGGAAGCTAAAATGAAAGGTTGGCATGCGAATCAAGTGATCTGCGTGCCAGTGACTATCGGTAATGTGCCGCTGATGAGCGTAATACAGAAACAGCCTACAGCCTGTGAAGCATTTAGCAGCAACAATCCTGATGAGACAGCCGCTGCCGTAGCAGCTTTGTCCACAGACATGGTAGATGCTGAAGATTCGAAAAAAGGGATGGTGGCGGTTAATCAATTAAAAGGTGAAGGAGAATTGGAAATTAGCAGCGCGATAATGACGTCTGCACCGCCGAGCCCATGGGCCGCAGATGACAGTATACGTAAGTATTTTAATTGATATTCTGCAGGCGTTATCATTTCAGTTTTCTTTTTAATAAACTTCGGCTCGCTTTTCTTCTCCAGCGCCACCCAGTTATGAGGCCGCTCTGCATATGAAACCGGCAAAAATCGGTGAAGGTGAGGCGCATGACTATGGCGAAAAAGAATTCTCGCCACGCTATCCAGTCTTCAACTTACCGAATCGTGGCGCTCCAGACGTAGATGAAGTGGACGCTGTTGGAGGCGCTGGCGCTCTAGCGACCAATGGTGTCGCAAGCAACTCCTCTAACACAACGGCACAAAAGAGTACTTGGCTGTGAACTTGAACAAATAAAAATCAATGTAAATAACAAATCTTTAAATTTTTGTTTCAAGCGACCTTCGCGCTCTTATCACTTTCAGTGTGTAACACTTTAGCAGCGCGGTACAAACACATACACTGGGTACCTAATGATAAGGAAAGATTTACTTTGGAAGCAAAAAATATATATACATAAATATTTTGTAGCTAAATTATATCAAATTCGCATTTCAATTCCACTGCGTATCAGTAAATATTTGTGTGCGCGGATGTATGTATTTCCGTTTATATGTATGCCTATTTTTGCGTCATACCAAAACTACGCTGCCTGCTTATCTAAAACCTTTAATTGTCGCTCTTTTGTTTTAGTTTTTTTTTTTTCGGAATAAAGTACCTCATTTATCATCTACATATTTAGGAGATCATATACATATGTATGTATGAGCGCTTTATTAAAAAAAAAAAAAATATGCCCAGTCCGCCGGCCAACCAAATATGTGCTCTCTAATTTTTCCTAGTTCAGTCCACATCGGTCGGTTGTTGAAGTATAATGGTGGTAACTTGTGATATTCAGTTTAATCAAAATGAGTTTGGCACTTATTTCTCCGGTCAACTGGTAGACGGGTCGGTGGTGCTAACAGCTGATAAGCCAAAAGATGTTAAAGGTAAGAACGAATAAGTGTTAAAAATGAAGCAATAAAAACACAAATACAAATGTAGGCAATAACTATACTGTACTCAGTAGGTTGACAGCAATTGTCGCAGTAGGGAAAAATTTATTTAAAGTGCAACTAGTGTTTATCAGGTTATCAGTAATTAGGGCAATGTCTGGTAATTTAATTCAGTTCAGCCATTCATTTTCATTGTATTCGCAACAGCAATATACTAGCTGCGAGATGGATTCTCCTAATTACTTGTAGACACTTACTAACTGTAACTATCTCTGCTGATAGGCAGACAGCTACTAAAGTACGTATGTATGTATGTAGTTGTGGCAAATCTACTTCAATCAAGTAATGTAAACGTACCCTAAATGAGCTGGCAAGAAGTTGCGCTACTCATGCTTTATGGATGCCAGGCCATAACGGTTTACCGGGAAACTGTCTTGCCGCTGAACTAGCATGGAAAGGTAGCTTATGCTGCCTTTTCATTGACCCCTGAGCCCCAATATCTACTAAGAAGAGGGCAATGAAAAGGCAACATTTTTGTTTGTAGAAAAGAAAACACCATTACATTACCGCTCTTAATGCTGGAATTCTTCTTGCAAGCTCTTATTGGAGGCTAAATTTATCGAACAGCAAACTCAAAATGGTCTCCGGTGCCGATGTGCTGAATAGCAAGACATAAATATCTGGCGTAAGTGGGACAAAGGCATGATCTCGCCCTCTCCTAGGCTTGGAGCGACTACTGCAACGAAATGTAATTGCAGTTCTCACCGGACACTGTCTGATAAGAACCCACGCTATTAGAATAGGTATCCAGTCAAACGATTACTGTTGTAGTTGTCATGATGTTAAGAAAATCGAATTCGTGGACGATTACCTATGTCACTGCCCCGCTTTGGCGCGGATTCCTCGATGCTCGTTTCTCCACTTTTCTATTGAATGTCTGGCTGAACTTGATTCAGCCGATATCTATGATATTTTGCGCTTCATCAGAGCTTCAAATTGTTTTTTTTTTTCTAAGGTAAGAGAAGGAACGCAAAGATCCATGGCGGCCTTAGTGTGCCTTTTCCTGTGCTGCATGAGGGCAGCCAAAATGATCAAACCTAACCCAACCTAACCTATATATCCACAACTTGTAAAAGAGCGGTATACATTTTTGGAGACTGACAAATGCTTTAAAATTCAGGGAAGTAGTATCGCTGATTCTCTCCTCTAAAGTGTTTCTAAAATAACCTTTGTCCATTTATTCAGAATTCTTACACCATCCCAGCTTTATCTCTGAGGAAATAAACTTATATTTGTTTAGAGATCTTTAAATAATCTTGCGAGTTTACTCGGTTGAGTGCTAATTAAGTGATGTACTTCTAGGTTCAGTGATCCTAGAAAGCGAAATCTGCCCGGAGCAAGGGCTTCATAAGGATTCTCATAATGTGCTTTAATATCTGCCGGTACTTGTGGACAAGTTACAGTGATCANCCTCGGTTGAGTGCTAATTAAGTGATGTACTTCTAGGTTCAGTGATCCTAGAAAGCGAATAATGTGCTTTAATATCTGCCGGTACTTGTGGACAAGTTACAGTGATCAGAGTAAAAAACTGCCAGGCTTGAAAGCCTCTAACAATTTTTACTTCCTGCCTATTAAGGCGAAGAAGTGTTTTAATTATCTTTGTATATATTTCCGGGACTTAGCCTGTCTGCTAGCTTCTGTAGTTCTTCATGTCTCGCTTCCTTCTTCATCTAGATATAATAATTTTACTTAGTGGAGCTCCACGGACAAACCACGCTGTGGCCCTGATGCTATGAACCCCTGTTCAGTTACTTTCTGAACGAGAATATCTGCCCTTTGACAGTATTGGTAAAGCCTGGAATGATAAGGCGTTGATATGATCAGCTATCATCAGGTATACCATAGACTTGCGTTCTTGGCTGATATCTTAGAAAAGCATACCTGCTAGTCTAAGTTGGTCCTAGTTAGAGTATAGGAGCCGTTCAGTTATTGATTTCATGTCGCCTACATCTGCGTGAGCCAGATTTACACCAGCATAGTGCCCCGCCGTGGTTGAGTGGTCAGAAATGTACACTATAACTTGGTAGGAAATACCAAAGAAAAACTGAGTGTATTTCTGCAAAGAAAAAACTTCTCATTAAATGGGTTACCGTTCGCATACTGCGTACACCTATAGGTTCCTCCGTTTGTGTTAATAATATCAAGACGCACACCACAAATCTGCGTAGAAGATCGGTAAAGCACTAGAAAATATGTAAGCGCCAAATATTTATTTATTTCTTGCTCTGTGTTACACCTGGGCGATATACTGGGAGCTCTCGTGCAGTTAGCCCTATAGAGTCTCTGCAATGCTGCTCTTTGGATATCTCTTTGTGGCGGCTGACTTGCTAACCTTCGCCTGAGTTGACTCGCAAAGTTATCTGAAAGAAAGAGGGTATTAGTCTTATATCGTTACCTTAATATAGAAAGGCCCTTACTCATATCGTCGCTGAAATACAAAAAGCCGTAACTAAGTAAAAATCCAAAATTCCCTTTCTGATCGATTCTGAAGCATTTCATCGAATTGTAAGTCCCACATCATTTTTAGCAATAATAAATTTTAGTCAGTTACAGTTACAGCATTTCAGCGGCTATATGAGTTAGGGCCTTTCTATATTTAAGTAACGATATGTGTATTTTAAGGTTCTTAACCGTCTTCGATCAAAATTTCTTCGAATATACATACATACATAAGTATGTAAGTATGTATGTAGTTATGTACTTATATATATATGTGCAAATTTTTTGTGCCGAACCAAGTCGAATACTTTAATACTCACATTCGCTTGCAATTTTTTTATTCGCAAGTTACTATCAGAAATATTTGCTATTATCGTGGAGCTAAATTCCGCAACTATAAAGATTAATATATGGCTTGTTTTCTTTGTCGCTTGGCATTTAATATATGTTTGGTTTTATTGATTGTGGAATAGGGTTAAATTTTTTCGGTGAATTGATTTCCTTAATATCGTACTTTTGCAAATCAAAACTGTTAGCCAGTGTTGTATTAGATGATAAAACTTAATTAGGTTATTATGAATAAAAAATTTACAATTAATTATTGATTAGAAGAATTCCAATCTTACTTCCAAACTATTTTTAAATCCACTAAAATTTACTTACAACAGCCATTTGACTTATAAGAAGAACTCATCCATTTGCATTGCTATTGAGAGGCATTGAGAAAATAGTATACCTGTTAGTAACGTAACTCGTTTTCGAATTATCACAGCGAGGTAAATATTCGACCCTTGCAGAACTTATTCCAAGTGTCCGGTCGAGGTACACATATATATATATATAATATGTAAATACATCCCGAAACATGTGCTTTTGTGTTTTATTAAACCAACCTTTGGCGCATTATGGACTTGCCGCCTTCTTCGCTCTGTTATTGTGCTTCCATAGAAACTGGTTGTTGAGAATAGCTCAAAAATACATGGTGCGGTCTTTAAGCTTGTGCTTATTGTACTTCCGCTGCGGGACGATCTCTATAACGGAGGTCCTTTGGCAACCTCCCAAAAAAAGTTGGATGGGCTTACAGCGCTCTTGACGTAGGGAGATGTTGATAAGGTCCCACAGCAGAACGGAAGCTTTCGCCTCGCAAAAAGCCTATTTTTTTATTGCACTGCAGGAAATATTTATCATGATCCGCTCTTCAACACTTACTTTTTCCAAGGCATCAGAAGTTAGTTATGCTAAAGGCTTTTTCGTACGCCGTGTGTCTTCGCATATTCGATGCCTTATCAGAATTTCGGCATTACCACACCAACCTCGCCACGCTATGCCCCTCGGTGTGACGAAGGTACTCTTTCCCTTATAAGCTTGTTTTTTTAGAATTTAATGTAACTGCATGCACCAAAAGGTTAAATCCATCTAAAAGTGTAACCTCCATAGATCTGGGACCTCTCAAAGCATCTGCTATGCCTGAGGTTCCGTTTTCTCTTCTTCTAGGATGATAAAAGTAAGCTGCTTTCCGACGTACAAGTTCAACTTCAACCCGAAGGCTGGAACTTTCAAGTCCAGATACTGTCCTATTACCGCTTGAACCCCCCACAATCAACTTTTTTAGATATCTTGGCTGAGGAGCAGTACCCCATCTTGTGGTCCCACTTCTCCTGCTTGATTGGTTAATCTGGATTTAATCCTTTCCGCTATTATTTATGTACTGGCTACAGAGATTTTAATCCAAGGCACTATGTTGGCTTTTGGAAATTTGCCCAAAATGTTCTCAAACGTTTTCAGAGGCAACGATGTTATTTAAAGGGTGCGTTATCATTCAAGTATACTTAATCATTTTTATCTGCTTTGGTTATGAACACAATCGTCGCTCTTCTCCAGTTGAAAGGCACTTCCTTACTTCAAATTCAAGCATCCTTTGGATATCGCTTTTAGCCAGGGGACCACTACGTAAGTAACCTTTTGATGAATAGCTCCAAATGCGACTAAGATGCAATACTACTACATTAGATCGTTACCAGTACTACCTTAGAAAATGCAATGATCACGACAGGCACAATAACAAAAAACACATTAATAATTATGAAGCTAACATAAAAAAAACCCGACTACATTCTGGAGCTATTTTAAATCTAAAAAATCAAATTAAAATATTCCTTCCTCGGTTTTTTATAACGACAGGCAACCAGAATCCCCTGAGGACGCTGCGAACCTCTTCGCTGAGTTTTTTCTTTCTAATTTTATTGCGGATTCGGTTCTTGCTTTTGGTTCACTCACTTTTTCTACTGAAGACGTTAGCATAGACATCGATGTCCTTCACATATTGAACTATTAACATTAATTTTCAATAAGTCATTATAATTCGGTGAGTTTATTGTTGACAGGTAAAGGGTTTCCATGACACCAATTTTCGAAAGCGGTAATAAAAATAACGTTGCCAATTATAGACTTGTTTCGAAATTGTCCACGGTATCCAAAATCTTTGAGGGCCTCGTTAAAGATAAAATATTAATTGCAACTAGTAGTTCGATTGCCAAAACCAACATGGTTTTGTCAGAGGTAGAACAACAATGTCCAATCTAGCGGTTGCTTTCGATGAGGTCTCTTCTGAGCCCATATTGCGAACGTCTGGCGTTCCTCAAAGAAGCATATTGAGGCCACTTATTGATTAATGATATCAGATAATTAGGGACTTGCATAATTCCTTTGTTCTTCAAGCGGAGCTGAATAAGCTACAAACTTCGTATCCTCGAAATCGTGGCTACATTTCTTTATTCATTCTGAACGTTTGGAATAAACTTTTTTGTTTACTCATTCTGTAGAACGTTCCTGATGATATGTCAACGTATATTTCAAACGCATTCTGTTTATTCCGGCTGTGAAATGGGATTATCCGGAATGTATAAAGAAACGCAGCCCGTATGTCTCTAAATGTGAATAAACATTCTCATGCTAATCTCACTAGAATGTGTATTCTTTTTACCACGAGTTGGGCGGTGGCCGGGCCTGCTATAGTCAGTAAGAATTTTGATTCATTTGGCTAAAAATGTAAATAAATATTACGTCNGTATGTCTCTAAATGTGAATAAACATTCTCATGCTAATCTCACTAGAATGTGTATTCTTTTTACCACGAGTAGGGCGGTGGCCGGGCCTGCTATAGTCAGTAAGAATTTTGATTCATTTGGCTAAAAATGTAAATAAATATTACGTCTATTCTTGGATTTGATATGCCAGAGCTATTCATTGACCATTTTTCGTCGGCACATAGTTTACTTTATCGCCTGGAGGTACAATAATTACTTGTTTACAGACATAAAAAATTGTTATGGTTACAGCCTTAGTGATTCTCGAATCTGCCAATTCAATTTCGATAATATCTGNGTCGGCACATAGTTTACTTTATCGCCTGGAGGTACAATAATTACTTGTTTACAGCCATAAAAAATTGTTATGGCTACAGCCTTAGTGATTCTCGAATCTGCCAATTCAATTTCGATAATATCTGCATATTCTGAATAATGCAACCAAAGTCTCTGCACGACATCGGTTTGACCTAACGCATTCATATCTTATATTCCCTTAACAAATCGCTGTATTTCTTACACCACAATTCGTTGTCATCTCCCTTAATCAACTTAGGGAGCTCCCATACCGCACGTCCGTGTGATTTGAGATCCTTATTCCACAAAGGAGCCTTTAGTTTGAGTTTTCTGCGCACTGCAGGCCTCGCAATAGATTAAGTATTATTCAGAATAGTCGAAAGTCAATAACTGTGATAATAAGTGGGGCCTCTCAGAATCCAACAAACACGCAGAAGGTCCAGGAAGTTTAATAAAAATGAATTTACTTTAAAGAAATTAAGGCTCGANGCGTCCGTGTGATTTGAGATCCTTATTCCACAAAGGAGCCTTTAGTTTGAGTTTTGTGTGCACTGCAGGCCTCGCAATAGAATAAGTATTATTCAGAATAGTCGGAAGTCAATAACTGTGATAATAAGTAGGGCCTCTCAGAATCCAACAAACACGCGGAAGCTCCAGGAAGTTTAATAAAAATGAATTTACTTTAAAGAAATTAAGGCTCGACGACTCTTCTTTATTAAAAATATAAAACTCCAGACCTCAAGATGACCCTGGAGTCATTAACTTGAGACAAATAAGGATATTTAATGTTCATATAACGTTTCGTTTGAGAAACAATATTTAAATTCAGAAAAATGTTAATTCAGCTGAAACATTTAATCGTGAATATTATTGCAGCTGTAATTTTAACCATATCCGGATTTGCTCTTACAAAATGGCGAGAAAAAAGTTTCAACAAAAATCGTGAATTCAATGGTCGTGAGGACTATATGGAATCGAAAACTTATTTGATGGGATCAGAAACAAGTGAGTGCAATTTTTGTGAACAATGGCATATTTAATTGACTAAAACTATTCCCATAGAAGCATACTTGAAAAACTAATTTCTTTACTAAAAATAACTAATAATAAGTCCATGTTAAATTGACCAATGCAATTGTTGGAATCGAAAATTTTTTATTTCGAAGAATTTCGGTCAAAACTTTTCTTTTATCATATTTATAACAAAGTTCCGCAAAAGGAGAAAATTAATAATCCAAAGTTATACAAAATTCAAAATTTTCCAATTTCCGTATTTTTGCTAGTTAATTTTTTGAATATATTAAAAATTGTTATAGTTACAAAAAGTGTAAAAGCAAAAACTTATAAAAAATTTTCCTTAATTTTTCTCTGCACAATTCTTCCAACTGATCTTAAAAGAGCCTGATATTTTCAAAAGATGTGCTTATCTTAATATATCAACGTTTGAACTTAAAAAAAAAAATGCGAATTCTATATGAAATTATTTTAAGAAAAATCTGCTTAATTTAAATTTATTTTTAATTTAAAGTTTGTAAAAAAATTTTTTAAAAAGCTCAAAAAATAATATCCTTACAAAAATACCTTCAAAATCCCAGGATCTTTTAAGATCAGTTAGACGTGCTGCATACCAAATGTAGCCAAGAATTTATATAAGCTTTAGTTATAACAAGTTTTTAAATTTTAAAATTCTGCAATTTTTTGATTTGGATTGTGAGATATCCAAAGAACAAACTTCAAATTTTTTAATTTTTATTTCCTTGACAGAACTTCGTTATACGATAATCGCAAAGTTAAGACCAAAATTTATCCAAATCAAAAATATTCAATGAAAATAATTTCTCGATTTGACATGGTTTCACCCCTATACTAAATTTATCCAGGTCAAAAGTATACCATACAGTCAGGCATTCACACCTACAACTTCGCCTGCCAGCTGCCAGAAAACTGTCCGACCTCCTTTGAGGGGCTACATGGCTGCATAAGATATATAGTCAAGGTGACACTGGTGATACCATGGAAATTTAACCAAACCTACTCACGCGGCTTTACCGTTATGAAAATGCTCGATCTAAACTATGAATCGCCACAGTTAAAGGTAAGTACCTACTCACACAATATCTAAAGTTTCCAACAACATAACTCACACCTTTCGTTTGAAAAATAAAAAAAGATCCCCTCGACCTCAGAGAACTACAGATCCTACTGCTGTGGACCCTGCAAAACCGAACCGCTCAAGGTGCAAGTTCAACTGCCACAGACCGGCTATGTGCCCGGACAGCGTATTCCAGTCACTGCATTGATCATCAATAACACGCGCATACCAATTGCAGAAGTGCGTTTCGCGCTTATCATGCTTGTACGCTACACGGGTCAATCGCCAAATCAAAATTCATGCCTCGAACGCATTACCATGACCGTTGCAAAAGGTGAATCTGTGCTGCGAAATTGTACGCGTTCACTGACGCAAGAGCTACTTGTGCCGGCCACACCACCAACATGCCTGCGCGCCTGCAGTGTCATACGTATAAGTTACCAGGTCGAGGTCGAGGCGCGCATGAAGGGATGGTATGCTAGTCAAACGATTACAATGCCTGTGCTGATAGGCAACGTGCCACTGTGGCAAACGCCACCAGTCATACAACAACAGCCACGTAGCAATGGAATACCAAATGTTATTGAAGAGCGTCATACGGAAAGGGATGAAAATTCTGTGGATGGCAAAGAAGTTTATGTTACACGTGAAATTGCAGTGGTGGATGTGCCTTCGCCGGTGGATATTTATCCAGAATTGCGTGAGTAAAATGGAAATTTCTTTTAACGTCTTTGTACTTAGTTGAGTTCCACTTGAGCTTAATAAGCTTTATCTTTTTATACAAGCTTTTGAAAGCTCCCAAAAGCTGAGTGTAGACAGGTTCCAAATGTGGAAATAAATGAGTTCCAATGTCTTTCTGCAACGGCAATCTGCAAAAGTCTCATATGTGGAAGATAACAGTCCCGTTAGTGGAAACTGCAAGGTTCCACTTATGTTCCATTTGTGGAATGTAAACAAGTTCCACATTGTGGAAGCTGCACAAGTTCTACAGGAAGTCGAAATGTTCCAATTCCGCATCCTGATAGCTGGTGCGTGTCTGCGCTAACGTATGTTATCGGTTTTTGGTGAGAATTTAAAGTTTACGAAAGTTGTGTGGTATGATAGATGCGTAGCAGCCAAAGAACATAGAAAACTAAGAAAGTGCATACTAGCAGAGAACTTAGATAGATAGAGAAGGTGCAAATTTTTGGAACGTAAAATTGTTTGGCTGAAAAATAAATGCATGGAATATCACCACAGCGCGATTAACATTTCAAGAAGAGTTAACAGAGAAAAATGTAAATTTCTGTTATGATAATGTTATATTTGTTGCAAGTGTCTGGCTATGTGTTGCTAGGTTGCATGTGTATGCAGAAACGTATTCATGTATATTTTTTTCATAAAATTAAATAAATTAATATAGTTAAATTATATTAAATGTACTTTTATATTAGTTAAAATTGCTGACTTGCATTTCTGCATGACCATTTATTAAATATAATTTATTCAGTAGTTAATGTTGCTAAAAACTTAAAAAGCATCTGTTCAAGTTCGCTTCTTTTTTTTGTGGAGGGTTGTTCGCATTTTC